CAAGGTATAGGCCCTGAGTTCAAACCCCAGTACAATAATAATAATAATATCTACAATAACAACAGCTTAATATTATTGGCTCCCTGGAAGCAATCTCAGCACTGTTTAACTCATTCAGGCCTCACAAGAATTCCATCACTATCTCTGTTCGTTGTTGAGGATATCGAGGCCCAGAGACTCTAAGGACTTTATCCAAGCAGACATGGCTGGTGAGCGAGTAGCAGAGCCAGAATTGATTTTTTTGAGATAGGGTCTCACAAACTGTTTTCCCAAGCTTTTGAACTCTGCCTCCTCAGTAGTTAGGATTACAGGCATGAGCTAAATGCAATGTATTTTATAAACCCAACTTCTAGAGGCAAATCCCTACTTTACCTGGGCTCAACTTGGATCGAATGCATGGAAGCAGTCAACAGTGGCTGGTGGGCCCGTTGGGTGAGCAGATTGATCTGCAGTGTGACATCTTTCTCGGAGGGGATAGAGCTGTTTTGGCTCTCAACAATCTTCCTCTTTTGTGCTAGCTCTGGAATCTGACTCCCACACAAGCTGAGACTCATCAGCCACACTGATTCACACTTGCCCTTCAGCACCCTGTTTGTGCCTCCTGGTGCCCAGGCTCAGACCCCCTGTTCATCATCGATGAGGATGGAAGGTGAAAAGGAGCCAAGCCCCTCAGGAGACCATACCCAGCATACAGGCCCTGGTTTTGACACAGCTAAAAATGCTGAAGTGGCTGGCATCAAGCTTTTAAGCTGTATTGGACGTTACAGTTGTCAGATTGGTGGATCCTAGTGTTTATCTGGTAAAATCTCCTTTGCATTCATCGTATGCTATAAACAAGAATTGCAAAGAAACAGGAGAGCAGAACTGTTTGTAGAATAACCTGTGACACAGTGAATGATGAAGGGTGAATAATGAATGGTGATTGAAACCATGGAAATTCCCGCCTGAGAAGGGACTGGTGAGGCGGGATGAGTGAAGATGTCCTAATAAGGCAAGATGGGGTGGTTAGGGGAGCTGGAGAGACAGACAGAGAGAGTTGTGACTCAGAAATCCATCTCAGTGCCTCCCAAGCTTTCCCCATGGCCTCAAGCCTGGCAGTCCATGCTCTGGAGAGAGTCAATGTGGGTTTCTTTAAGCCTGGAGGAACTCAGTCAGGAGCACTGGCTGGGATTCTCTGAACTGGAGTCACAGATCTGAAATATTAGACCAAAGAAATATACAATTCCTGGGGCAGATTAAAGGGGTGCAGAAGAAGAAAACACTCAAGCCACTTCCTTTAAACTACAGTCTATTTGTCAAGGGCTCAGCTATGCCAGGCCCCACGGCAGGAGGGCAGGGAGAAGCTGAGATTTTATTCTGCTGTTTTGGCATTTCCAAGTTCGAGGTATACTGAAGGGTGGTGAGTGGGGAAGAGGGAAACCTGTGCAAGCAAAATGTTCTCGAACGCGAAGCATTTGTGATCACATGAGCTCCCAAGAGATTTTACACAAGCAGTAGTGTGGGATATGTATTTGTATCTGTCTGTCTTTCCCTCTATTACAGTATGGAGTTGGGGGGGACCCATATTTCAAGCATGTACAAGGTGGAATTCTTACCTCTTACCCCCACTCTCCATCTCCAGCTGACTTATGTATGACTCAGGATGAGAGGGCAGTTACAAATGGTGGCCATGGGGGTGCAGTGTCCCTGAATGTGACCCTGCTTGAAATGCAAATCCTGTCTTCCTGCTGCGAAGGTGGGTAGGACTGTTCTTACTGACCATGTGTCCTCAGCTCAGTGTGTTCGATGACTCTGAGTTGGAAGCCAGGGGGCCACATCGTTTTAACCCTTGCAAAGTTTCTTCATCCTTCTTTGCCAAATGAGGTTGCATTAGTAATTACTAATGTGGTTGCATTAGTAATTCATGCAGGAAGGATTGCTGTATTCAGTCATTAGAGTTAGTGTACTGGCTCTCCATATGGAAAAAAATAATAAAGTGAATCTCTACTTTCCACCATAGAGCAAAAAACATGCTTCCAGTACAGATTTCCTGGTCTCATGGCAGACCTCCTGAGACTTTATTATTTTTTTAATGGATAAATTAGACTCCCTGAGGGAAGGGACCCTGGACATTTTTGTCATTAAATCATTTGTACCAAGTAGGGTCCCTGGAATATATTATGACTGTCCCCCTGTGCTCCCTCCTCTCACCTTCCAGCCTCAGGCCATTGCTGATCTGCCTTGTGTCTGCCAATTAAAATCATGAAAATAATGTAAGAATAATAACTTCAAAATAAAGCTTTGGCCAAAGGTGGAAATGAGAACGAGAAAGACACTGGTGGTGCAGCTAGCCTGGCTGCAGCTGGAAACTGAATGCAGGTGTTCCTGACATTGAAGTAGCCCAATGTGAATACCCAGAGGAGAGCAGGCCAAACCTCCGGACAAGGATGCCCCAAGGATCTTTTATAAGAAACATGTTAAGACATTTTTATAACTGCAGAAAAAGAATACAATATGCAACTCAGCTACAAATGTGACAATCTGGATTTTTTTTTTTTTTCTTTTTTTTGCCGCCTTGGGGTTGAACTCAGAGCCTCACACTTGCTATGAAGGCACTCTTACCACCTGAGCCACTCTGCCAGCCCTTGGGTTTTTGGTTTTTTCGTTTTTTTTTTTTTTTTTAATACTGGGGTTTGACCTCAAAGCTTTGCACTCGCTAGGCAGGTGCTCTACCTTAAGCCATACTTCCCGTCCTTTTGCTTTTAGTTTGCCTGGGTTGGCTTCGAACCTGCAATCCTGTAGGCGCTCACATTCCAATCACAGGAGGAGGGGACAAATGGACAAATGACACTAATCCCATGCAGAAACCAGAGCAGGGAGCAGAACTGGGGTGGGGGTGGGAGAAGCACTTCCAGTAGGTTGACCAAAGAAGGCTGCTCTATGGAGGGCACTTGAGCTGAGACTTAAATGGCAAAAAAACACCAGCTCTTTCTAAAGAAAGAGCATTTTAGGAATCAGGGGCAGCACATACAAAGGCCCTGAGGTAGAAAGATGTTGGTGTGTTCAAGAAAGAAAGCAAGGGTGACTCAGAGCACAATGACCAAAATGGAGAGTCAGTCACACAATCAGAGAGGCTGAAGAGGTAAGAAGTTTTGCTCCAAAAATGGAAACCTAAACCCTCTTGAGAACAAAGTCATGCAGCCCCCTGTGGTGGTGCCCCAACACTCTAAGAGCTGTGTTGCTGGTGGGCAGAGGTTGGGAATCCTTATAGTTACAGAGTCACTTTTTCCTATGTAGGCAGCTGCTGATCACAGACTCCAAGCTAGCAAGAAAAGGAATGTAGAGTTATTCTAGTCCAACCCCTTGTTTTCCAAGTGAAGGAACAGAGCCCAAAGAGGGCAAAGTCTTTACCTGAAAAGGCACTGTGGGTAAGGTGAAAAGACAGGTGATAAGCTGGGGAAATTCTTGCTGGTCCCTTTCACAGTTTGGGGGAGCAGTTTCTGTGCTGTATAATCCACTAGCAGGTGGATCGAGTGTGCAAGGAGGAGGAAGGAACAAGAAGAGGTTGCCAGCATGTGCTCAGGGTGGCTGTAGTACTCTGGGGACAAAGCATTCAGTGCTTATTCACTGAGCATGCGTCTAGGCTCTTGGCCAGCCAGCAGTTCTGCTGCAATTAGAGCTCACGGCCGTCAAAAGCTGGAAAGAGAGCTGGGACACGGCTCAAGTGCTAGAATGCCTGCCTAGCAAGCGCCAGGCTCTGAGTTCAAAACCAAGGAGTATCCAAAAAAAAAAAGCTGGAAAGAACTCAGATATCAGTCTGAGTAGGTGCACGGACAAATAAATCATGGTCTATTCTGACAATGTAATGCTACTCAGCCACACAGAAGGGAAGAAACTTTTTTTTTTTATGGTTTCTTTTTCAAGATAGTCTTGTTCGAATTATCTGCCCAGGCTGGCTTTGAACCGTGATCCTCCTGATCTCTGCCTCCCAAGTAACTAGGATTACAGGTAAGCCACCAGCGCCCAGCCAGAAAGAAAATTCTGATCCAAGCAGCAATGTGGATGAATCTCACAAACATACCGAGCAAAAGAAGCTAGAGACAAAACAGAATAGACTGGCTGGGTGGTTCACGCCTATAATCCTAGCTACGTGGGAAGCTGAGATGGGGAGGAGGCCAGCCTGGGCAAAAAAGTTTGCAAGATCCCATCTCAGTGGGAAAAAGCTGGGCATGGTGACACATATCTGTCATCCCAGCAATGGCAGAAAGAGTAATACACAAGGAGCAACCCAGGCCAGCCTGGGCAAAAAGCGAGACCCTACCTTGAAAATAACCAGAGCATAAAGGGCTAGAGACGTGACTCACAGTGGTAGAGCACCTGCTTAGCAAGCATAAAGTCCTGAGTTCAAACCACTCATCTTCCTGGGAGCATTTTCTCAAATGTTTTTCCTGATCCCCAATCTGAGGTCATAGCACTGTTTTGCTCTTAACTTTCAAATTCATGGACTAAAATAAAATGTTGGCTTCTATTTTCTGTAAATGTCTTCCTACTATGTAAGAATGTTTGTTCTGGACACAGAAAGCACCTAGGGCAGGAGGCAGCAGCTCTTGGTCATAAACATGTCTCTCCTCTACCCGTGGATGACTTCTTTGTCCTATTGAGAAGGAATGTGATAATGTCTCTGGTTGTTACTTAATACTGCACAAGTAAGTGTCTGAAAACACACTATTCAAGATATCTGGGATGTGCTATAGTGGCTTTTAAGTTTTAAAAAATAAATAATCCAAACAAAAGACAGGTGCCAGTGCCCAGCCAGCTGTGTCCTGGTTCTTTGTCCTCATGAAGGTCAGCACTGTCACTTTACCTCCTGCCCCTTCTCAGCCCAGGAGGGAAGGGACAAAGGGGTCTGAGAAAGCAAGGGGTCTGAGAACGCATCCTCCCTGAAACCAGTTGGTGGGAGAACCACAGCAGGTGGGCTGACCTGATCATCCAGCTCATGTCACTTTCCTTTTTTCCTTCAGATGCTTCTGAGATTGTCCTGCCACCAGGGAGCAGCATTACAGTTCTCATAAAGCAGGGGACCCCAGATCTGCCTGCAAAACCCTGTTACATTGTCGTGTCTAGAAGACATTTGACTGTGCTGTTCATCAAAGCTGGAGAGAAAGTGGTTGTTACCTTCACCTGCCAGAATCCAGAGAAGCATTTTGTCCTAGAGATCCAGAAAAATATCGGTGAGTTTGCACCAGGAGCTGTTGGCAGCGTCTCAGGCCCCTCTCTGCCTTTCTTGCCTCTCCTCACACCAGTGGTCCCAGCTATGCAGAAGGCATACGTTGGAGAATCGAGGTCTGAGGCTAACCCTTGGCAAACACATGACATTTTATCCAAAAAATAACTAAAGCAAAAAAGGACTAGGTACATGGCTCAGACTGCCTAGCACGTCTGAGGCCCTGAGTTCAAACCCCAGTGCTGCCAAGAAAGAAAAAGAGCCCTAGACAGAAGTGGCTTGAGATGGTACAGCCAATAAGTAACAGACTAGAAGACAAGCCCAGGGGCTCTGGCTTCGGGGTCTGTCCTTAACCACTATGTCACACGGTCCCTTCAAGGAGCCCAAGAGAGGCCATGAGCTACAGATCTTCCAGTCTGTGATGCTTTTCTGTCTCGTGGAAGTCAAGGGCGTTTGCCTTGGTCCTTTGTGCTGTTATACCAGAATACCTGAGACTGGGTAATTTATAGAGAACTGAAATTTATTTTCTCTCAGTTCTGGACTCTGGGAAGTCCAAAGTCAAGGTACAGAAGGCAGAAGGGCAAGATGGCCAGAGCTCGCCAACCTCGAGCCCTTTTATAAGGGCCTTAATCTCACCCAGAGAGTCTGTCCTCTGGACTTAGTGACCACCCCTCATACTGTCACGTGGAGGACTGGGTTTTAACCTACGGGTTTTGGAGGGAACAGCAAAGAGGGCTGAGGAGGTAAGAGTGGGGCATTGACAAAGCACACTAGGTTGAGCCCTAGCTTTGGGGAAGGAAGAGCTGGCTGTGGCTTCCTGACCCTATGACTCGATCAGGAGTCTTCACATGAAGTACTTCACGGCTTTGCGCCTTAGTTTTGTAGTTTATAAAATTAAAGTCATTGTTTCAAAAATCAGGGTTGTTATAAAAATGCAATAAAATAATGAATTAGAAATGTATGACACATAAGAATTCAACAAACGAGGGCTGGAAGACATGGTTCAAGTAGTAGAGCCCCTGCCCACCAAGAACGAGGTCTGAGTCCAAACTCAAGTACCTCCAAAAAAAGTTTTTTTTAAACTACAGATATTTGGTATTATTATTATTATTATTATTCAGAATTTGAGTTTGGAATAGGAGATTAGCAATGGAAGATAAAAATCTGGAAGAAAAAATTCACATTTATAGTTTCCCAAGCATTTTAAGATAGGCCAAAGTAATTAACAGATGTATTAATCACACAAGAACTCTATTGAGATTTGATCAATCCATCCATTAAGGGGAAGGAATTCATAAGTAAAAGAAGGAAATAAAGTATGAAAAAGCAGTTTTTAAAACTGCACTTGATGACTAGAGCCAAGACCTAATTCTCTGCAAAGACTAATTAGACAAATCTCTAAATAGTCTCTTGAAAAAAAAAAAAGACAGAAAGATAAAATGCAAACATATAGCATTTGAAAGCATAAAAACTGATCTATAAAATAACATAAAAATGACATGCACACTATTTGTAAAATTCTAAGAGGTTGTGTACAAAACGATAATTAAAATATGTGAAGATCTGAATGAGACGGGTAATTTTCCAGGACAATTTAATAGGCCACCTTGCCTCATGAAAGAAATGGGAACAAACAGCAAGACAAAAATCAGAAAGAAAGACTCAAAATAAAAAGACTCAAAATAGAGGAGGGCAGGGTTTGTGTCTGTTAGAGACGGTTTTGTAGAAAGGTGTACACAAAACGTCAGTGAGCACGTGTTTCTGTATCATTTCCTCCCTTCTAGAAGAGGCTTGGCGGAATTATCCAGACAAGGTCAGATGGTGAATGCCTAGGCCCGTGGCCAGGCCGGGTCCTCACAGCTGTTGCTGGCTCTGATGCTGTAGAGTGGAATGAGCCATTGCCATCGGTCAGGCTATCAGCAAGTGGGCGAGTCAGTTAGAGGGACCCTGCACTCCTGGGTCACAGGGAATGTGATCAGTACGAGATGTCCAAATGTTCGTAATAAAACACGTAGGGAGCCAGAAATAGAGCCACACTTTCTTAATCTAGCAAAGCATCTATCAAGAACTGATATCAGGGCTGGGGCGTAGCTCAGGTGTAGAGCACCTGCCTAGCAAGTTCAAACGCCAGTTCCACCAGGGTAAAAAAAGTAAAATTATGGAAACTTACAATTATTTTTAGAAGCAAAGCTAGGAGGAGGAGGAAGTAAAAGAGGAGGGTAGCTGATATCTAGTGCCATTTTTAGCAATCACATAAAAGCATTAACAATAAAACTGAACAGAAGAATAGATATTGGTCACCACAATTCAGCATTTCCAGTAAATGTTTGTGTGGATAATATTAGTAAGTACATAAAGTATATTTGAAGCAAAATATAAACTTTTACCAAAAAATGGCACTTAAATAAATCGAGAGATATACTATGCTCCTTGATGAAGAGACTTAGTATTTTTAAAGGGTCAATTCTTACCAGGTGTCAGTGGCTTGAACCTGTAATTCTAGCTACTCAGGAGGCAGAGATCAGGAGGACTGAGTTTCAAGGCCAAAAAGGCAAATAGTTCAAGAGATGCTATCTCAAAAATTCCCAACACACAAAAAGGTTGGAGGAGTGGCTCAAGTGGTAGAGTGCCTGCCTAAGAAACATGAGGCCCTGAGTTCAAGCCCCAGCACCACAAAAATAAAGAAATAAAATAAAAAGCCAGTTCTCCCCAGAGTAATTTACAGTTTAAGTCAGTTACAATTAAAATAATAATTTTTATTAGACTATTGATAGGCCCAAGAATCCAATGAAATGGTGTGCTGCTGTTAAAAGAATGAAGTAGATTTGTGTATTTGGCATGGAAAGATGTCCAGGATAGTTTTTTCCACTCCAAATCAGACAGCTGACAGCAGAATAGTTTGTATAGTTTGATCCCACCTTACTAAATATAGATACATAAGCCAGGTATGGTGGTACACACCTGTAATCCCAGCACTTGGGAGGCTGAGGCAAAAAGATCATGAGTTCTGGGCCAGTGTGGACTACAAGGCAAGAGCCTACCTCTAAATGAATAAGTAAATAAAATCACACATAATGTGCACACACGTGTGTAATCACAGAGTTCAAAGTCTGAAGGAATAAACACCAAAGTACTAACCCTGTACTATTTCTATAGTGGACAAGACAGGGAACAGGTGGCATTCCTTTTCTTTCTATTCTTCTCTACTGTCCTTTCTTTTAAGAAAAAAAAAAAAAGCTTATGTTACTTCTATAGTCCGTTAAGCCAGTCCAGTGACTTCCTTTATTAATTTTTTTATTTTATTTGTATTTATTTTTGGTGGGACAGGGGTTTGAACTTAGGGCTTCAAGCTCACAAAGCAGGTGCTCTACCCCTTGAGCCACACTTCCAGTCTGTGATTTCCATTTTGAAAAGCATTTAAATGCATTTGATCTCAGCCCCAAGATGCCCACATGGTTTACTATGTAGTAAAAATGCACACTCCCAACTTATGAAAATGTCAATTAAAGAAAGTAAATGTAGGCACTTGGATCAAACGCAGGGGTCTGCTGCCCCCTCGTTTCCTTTCCTGAATAAGCGCATGAAAGTGACACGTGAAGGCGGACATCTCTGTTGTCATCCTGTGTTCAATAGTTTCATGGAAAATAATGAAAGTAGAAATCAGGGAAAAAATGAGTCATGAATTGCTTCAGAAATGGCATTTTTCCCTCCTCTAGACAGGAGTCACTTTATAGCAAGTGTGAAGCCCTGAGTTCGAACCCCAGAACTGCCCCCCCAAAAAAAGAAAGAAAAAGTGGGTGGGGGAAAGGCCTGGTGGAGTGGCTCAAGTGGTAGAGTGCCTGCCTGGCAAGCATGAGGCTCTGAGTTCAAATCCCCAAAATCACAAAAAATAAAATAAAATTAGACAGGTGTCATTTTAGTTATTTGACATTTTTGCACTGGCTGGAATGCAGAAGATCTGGAGGCAGTCCACTGTTGGATTACTCTTACCTCCATGTCCATCTTAAAAATCAAAAATTCCTAACAGCAAATAAAAATCCCATTCATATCCTACCTCTCCCAGTGCTGCGGGCAGTGGCAGAGCTGTGGCTGGGAGCCGGGGCTTCTTGATGCTGGGTTCTTGGTTTGGAATCAAAGTGGAATCCCTTGAGTGGCCCAAGCTTGTGTATTTTATATCAACATATCTTTTTTTTTTTTTTTTTTTTTTTGGTGGCACTGAAGTTTGAACTCAGGGCCTCAAAGTTTGCCAGGTAGGTGCTCTATCACTTGAGCCAAGCCTCCAGCCGGCTTGTAAATTTTAAAAACGTCCTCTAGGAGGGGAGTATGCCCAGAAATCTAACAAGCGGTTGGTTTCCCATGAGCTCCTAAAATAGCTGTGATCATCACCAACACAAAGTCTGATCATTGTAGCCCTTTACCCTCCACTTTATCTAACCTGGTTTTATTGGCTTGGCTGTGCAGTACCTGGCAAAAACACAGGTTGACCACACATGGCTGTCTTCTGCAAGTGGCCAGACACAAGTCGCCTTGACTCCAGGGCTGCTTTGCAAAAATGATAGTTTTGAATGGATAAACTCAGAGGTCCTACACCGCTCAGAAGTTCCTAATTCTATTTCAAGTCAACAGAACTTTCAAAGAGCCCAGTAGAGCAGGAGTGAAGATTCCAGATATGATTTCCTGAACACAAGACAACAAAACCCTAAAGTAACATTTCTGGCTTCTGTTACTCTTATCGTTCTTATTTCCCTCCTGATAGTAACATTTCTCACTTTGTTTTCAGGGGCTTAGGAAACAAACTACATCAAAGACTGTCATTAGTTGTTAGTCTTTCAAAAAAAAAAAATCCAACTGTTGTAGTAATGAAATACCAGCCCAAAAGCAACTGCCCATCGCTCCCAGCCATCTAGGGAATTGCACACTCCACTCCGGATGGACTTAGCAGGCTAATGACAGTGTTGGTTGATGGGAAAAGCAGATTTTAAAAGTGGAGCTTGGCAGGGTGCCATGACTCACAGCTGTAATCCCAGATACTTGGGAAGTAGAGATAGGAGGGTCGCAGTCCAGGGCAGCCTTAGCAAAAACACAAAACCCTATTCAAAAAATAACTAACGTAAACAAGGCTGGGAGCATGGCTCAAGTGGTAGAGCTCCTGCCTAAGCAAGCGCAAGCCCCCGAGTTCAAACCTCAGTACCACCAAGAAAAGAAAAGAGGTAGAACTTGGTCCTGTGTCCTAAAAGTTGTGGAACCAGAACTCTCAGAATAGGGGAAGTGGGATATTATCCCAGAGCACAGGCTCCACTGCAAGTGGCCTCCTTCTGCTCCCAGGAAGGCCTGGCAGGAGGCCTACCAACTGGGCCTCCAGTACCTAAATCTAAAAAACACAGTTGTTAGATGTCTTGAGTCTGGTGCCCCAGAGGCAGAACTTGGGACAAGGACTTTTGTTTAAGTCATTTGCCCAGAAAGTGTCCCTAGAAGAAGCCTGACTGAGGGCAGCAGAAGAGAGCCAGGAGGAAGCTGAGCACAACTGTCGTCTCAGCTGAAGTGTAGCCTCAGCCTGATCCTACAGGAAGTGTGTCCCCTGGGCGGGTCCTGCCTCTCACAGCAAGGAGGTCAGGCTTTCTCACCATGGCAGTGACAGTGACCATGGCCTGCAACTCCTGCCGGGGATGGGAGCCAGAGCGCTGCCAAACCTCCTAGGCTTTCCTGGTCCACGGTGGCTCCCTGGCTGAGGCACTTCCCAGGAGCAGATGCATCTGTGAGCCATTGCCACCAAGCCTGTCAGTGACTGGGGATCTGGGGATGGTGTGCCGGCCTGGCAAAGACCACCACAAGGGTCTACTACAGGGGAAGGGCAGTGTGTGGCCTTGTAGCATCTGTGACCCAAATTCTTCTCGTGACTATTTCAGACTGCGTGTCCAGCTCATGTCCCCTCGGGGAGATCCAGCTTCAGCCTTCGATATCAGCGTTGCCCACCCTCAACAGAACCTTCACCTGGGACGTGAAAGGCTCCAAGAGCATGGGCCTGGAACTGCAGTTCTCTGCACCTCGCCTGAGGCAGATCGGGCCTGGTGAGAGCTGCGAGGATGGGTCACTCACTCCATCAGCGGCCACATCAACGCCGCCCTGGTCAGGATCGGGACCTTCTGCAGAAACGGCACCGTGTCCCGGATCAAGATGCAGGAGGGAGTGAAGGTGGCCCTGCACTTGCCGTGGTTCTACCACAGAAACAGCTCCGGCTTCAGCATCGCAAACCACTCGTCTATAAAACGTGAGCACAGCCCTCCCCTCCCCTGGCCCGAGTAGGCGGAATCATCCAGAATCCCTATGATTCTAGGGCTGGAGTGGTGCAAGGTTGGCAAGTCTGTGCAATTCATCCTAAAACCCCAAAGGAAGATCCCACCTTCCAGAAAGCAATGTGGGTCACTCAGTCCTATGTGGGCCCCCTCTTCTCTATTAAGCAATTGGGGGTGACTCTTGCCTTTTCTCTCTTTTTCCTTAGTTCTTTTTCAGGACTGGGTTTGAACTCAGGGCCTGCACCCTGAGCCACTCTGCCAGTCCTTTTTTGCAATGGGGTTTTTTTCAAGATAAAGTCTCAAGAACTATTTGCCCAGGGCTGGCTTCAAACCTCGATCCTCCTGATCTCTACTTCCTGAGTAGCTAGGATTACAGATGTAAGCCACCAAAGCCCAGCTGTCACCCTGTCTTCTCCAATTCCCCCGCCCCTCAGCCATAGGCAGCTAGGATAGGTGTAATCGCCCCTTTTCTTTCTGGTTTGGGATCCCTCCCAACAGGCCTGTGCGTCATCGAATCCGAGTTTGAGGGTGAAGGCTCTGCAACACTGATGTCTGCCAACTATCCGGAAGGCTTCCCCGAGGACGAGCTGATGACATGGCAGTTTATTGTCCCCGCACATCTGCGAGCCAGTGTCTCCTTCCTCAGCTTCAATGTCTCCAACTGTGAGAAGAAGGAGGAGCGGGTTGAGTACTACATCCCGGGCTCCACCACCAACCCCGAGGTGTTCAAGCTGGAGGACAAGCAGCCCGGAAACATGGCCGGCAACTTCAACCTGTCACTGCAGGGCTGTGACCAAGATGCCCAAAGCCCAGGCATTCTGCGGCTGCAGTTCCAAGTTTTAGTCCAACACCCCCAAAACGAGAGCAGTAAGTAAGCCTGCTTTCCTCTCCCTCCTCCTTTTGCTCCTTCTTTGTTTCTCAGGGAGGCTGCCTGTTTGTCATACTTGGACTCTGGACCCTGTGTTAGTCTCAGGAAGTAGCTTGCTAGGCAGCAGGATGGCTCACTGGTGACCACCTGCCTGGCGTGCAGTTTCATTATAGCAAGCATGATCATGTATTCAGGTGCTAAATTGGGGCTTGGGTTTGTGTGTGTGTGGTACTTTGATTCGAACTCAGGACCTTGTGTTAGGCAGGCGCTCTACCACTTGATCTACGCACTCAGCCCTTTTTGCTTTAGTTATTTTTCCACTTTTATGCCCAGGCTGGCCCTGGACTGCGATTCTCCTATGTATGTCTCCCACATAGCTGGGATGACAGGCATGTGCCACCGTGTCCAACTTTTTACTGGTTGAGATGGTCTTATGAACTATTTGCCTAGGCTGGCCTTGAACTGAACCACAGTCATCCCAATCTCTGCCACCAAGCAGCTAAAATTACAGGTGTGAGCCACTACGTCCAGCTTGAGGTGTTTCACTCAGGAGGCAGAGGTCAAGGGGGATTGCAGTTCAAAACCAGCCGGGGAAAATAGTTCGAGATACCCTATCTAGCAAAACCCGATCACAAAAATTAGGCTGGTGGAGTGGCTCAAGGTGAAAGCTCTAAGTTCAAGTCCCAGTACCACAAAAAAAAAAAATGAAGGCACCCAAGCAGGCAATGGTGGGAAGCAGAGATCAAGAGGATCATGGTTCCAAGCCAGCCCCGGGGAAATATTTCTCAAGACCCTATCTCAAAAAAAATCATCACAACAAAAGGGCTGGCAGAGTGGCTCAAGTGGTAGAGTGCCTGCTTAACAAGCATGAGGTCCTGAGTTCAAACCCCACCAAGAAAAAAATGCACCCACTCTTAGGGCTGTGAAAGAACCAGGTCGGCACCTGGGAGTGAGCTCCTCCTTCAACTTTGTGCTCTGGGCGCTTGCCTCACCTTGAGGGAGGAAAGCAGCTTGAGGGAGGAACTTAAGAGGGCCATTATGCTCCTTGGCGTAGCTGTCTGTCATTCTATCCCCACCCCTTTTTGGGGGGCCCTAGAAAAACCCCACTAGTTACTCCTTATTCATGGACAGCTTGTCTTAGAGGCAGCAGACTAAGGGCCAGGGCACTGACCGGGTGAGCTGTCTGTGTGGATTTGTACCGTGGTTTCATCTTGCTGTGGGTCACTAGGCTAGTCACTCCCCCTCTGTGTCACCCTGTTCTTGTCTGTAGAGTGGAAATGACAGCACTGATCTCGAAGGGGTGTTGTGAGGAAAACGTGAGGGGGCACTGGGCCTGGCAGGTCGTAAGCGCTCTTTCAATGCTGCCTTCCAGGGTTCTAACTCAAAATGAGGACGGAGGGTTGAAAGAGACACAGTGCATGTCCCCAGAGGTTTAAACTGTGACCCAGAAGAGAAGTGACTTGTTGGAAGTAGCAAGCCACTCCCAGAAGGAGTTCCAGTGGTGTGTGGTGGCCCAGAGGCAGCAGAGCAGACCTCAGGCTAGGAGGAGGCCCAGGAGGGGACTGGTGCAGAGTCCGGCCCTTCCCAAGCTGCCCAGGAGGCCCCACCTGTGCCAGTGGTGTACACCCTCACAGCCACAGGTTAGGGTTCCAGATGTCATTTTGCTTTGTTGCACCGGAGGGTTTTTTGTTTGGTTGTTTGGTTTTTTTTGTTTTGGTTTGGTTTTGGTGGTACTGGGGTTTGAACTCAGGGCCTCACACTTGCTAGGCAGGTGTCTACCTCTTGAACCTCCACCAGTCCCTCTTTGTGATGGCTTTTTTTAAGATAACGTCTCATGTACTATTTGCCTAGGCTGGTTTAGAATTGTGAGCCTCCTGATCTCTGCCTCCTGAGTAGCTAGGATTACAGGTGTGAACCACAGGTGCCAGGCTCAGGAATCTTGTCTTATTCCTATCTACTACAGTTCCTGGCACCTTCTAGGACCTCTGAAAAACCTTCTTGCATCAATCTCAGGGGGAGCATTAGAGCCAGGCACACTGTCAAGTGCATAGCCCATCTGAAGGGACAAGCAAATAGGATGGAGTACACCTGGGAGAGATGGACACTCAGAATGTCAAACAAGAGCAGGCATAGATCTGGGAAACCTTCCCAAGCCAAAGAGGGCTGCTACACAGCAACCTAGAAAACCAGAGGGAAGCCGGACATGGTGACACACGCCTGTAACCTCAGCACTCAGAAGACTGAGGAAGAAGGGTTGTGAGTTCAGGCCAGCCTGGGCTGCGAGACCCTGTCTCAAAAACCAGAACAAAACAAAAAAGGAAAACCAGAGGGAAATATTGGAGTCCCTCAACCCTCCCAGTCTTCTTGTCATCCACGGCAAGACCTGACCACAGTATGGAAAAAACAGCTATGAAAAAAACAGCTTCTGAATGTGGGCAGCAGGCAGATGTGAGCCTGAACTTTAATAAAGTTTAATAAATTTAAACTTTATTTAATAAATTCAATAAATTCCCCCCACTCCCAAAAAAACTGCTATCTGTTGATAGTAGTCTACTTTGCTGAAAAGTATCGGTTAAGTTCAAATATACCTGAGGGACCTCTGCAGGGAATGTCTTTCCATGGAGTGACCACAAACATTCTGTGTTTTTGAGATGAGGCATATTAAAACTGCCCAGGACTGAGGAACGATCGGTGTGACCGGCCATGACCACCAGAATGTGTAACCTAGGGAAATTCATGTTCACCTCCACCAAACCGCCCTGCTTTCCCTGCGTTTTTATTAGTGCATGCCAACTGTACAGCGTGGGAGGGTTCACTGTAGTATTTCCATTCATACATACCATTTGCTGTTTTTTCATTTTTTGGCAGTACTAGGGATTGAACTCGGCCTCACACTTGCTAAGCAGGTGCTTTACCACTCAAGTCACATCCCCAATCCTTTTTCCTTTAGTTTTCAGTTAGGGTCTTGCTTTTGGCTGGAATGACCTGGGACCACAAGCCTCCTATCTCTGCCTCCTGAGTTACTGGGATTACAGACATTCACTGCCATGCTTGGCTCTTCATATAACTTCTGAAGGATTCCAGTGGCTTTGTTGATAATGGCTATATGAATTAATAATATCCCTCCTATATGTCTTGTTCTCTTTAGAAGTCTACTAGACCACCGCTTTCTGTAACCTCCTCTTCTAGCTTTCTGTGAAAATACCAGGGTTTCTGGTCTCTGGTCCAATCAGGTGGATGGGTGCGAGGTCCTAGTGTGTTCTGCTTCCCTGAGCTGCTCTGGGTAAAAGCTAGGCTGGGGAAGCTTCGTTTTCAGTTTTCATAACCTCATAGAGCCTGTATCTAATTGCTGGTCTTGTTTTGCTTTTTGGCTCATTTTTTGTTGAGTTACTTACACTCCGTGAGTCTTAAGTTTGTCCTGCTGGAGTTAATGCACACTGGGGCCTTTCACTTATTCCCGTGGAGCCCTTTTTCTTTTTTTTTTTTCTTCTGTGTTTGTGTGATGCTGCAGATCAAAGTTGGACCTCACCACATATGCTAGGCAAGTAATCTACACTTAGCTAGGCCTCTAGCACCCCATTCTCATTTTAAAGGAAGAAGTTTCTGTCTACTGACACCACAGAAATGATTAGGGGATCTTTCTGAAACCAGTCAATGATTGCGCACCTTCAAATGTCCCCACTGTGGCTTTTAAAGCAGTGTCGATAAGTCCCAAATAGTGAGGGTGTATGTGAGTGTGTGTGTTACAGGGGTTTGAACTCAGGACCTACACCTTGAGCCACTCCATCAGCCTTTTTTGTGTGTGTGTGATGGTGTTTTTCAAGATGGGGTCTCACAAACTTTGTCCGGGCTGGCTTCAAACCACAATCCTCCTGATCTCTGCCTCTTGAGTAGCCAGTATTACAGGCTTGAGCTACCGGCACCTGGCTAGAAAATGTTTCTTAAGCAGCGTGTAAATTTACTGCATCTACCTCTGAATAATTTTGAGATCCAACCAAAATAAGTATGGGAAGGAAGTGTGTGAAATGACCAGTGGATGGTACTTGTATACAAAGTAGATAGTGGAACAAGTGTGTGATCACAAAGAGCCACAGGCCACCTGCCTCCCAACACTCCTGTCATAAGAGGTCTGTGTCACCCCAGAATCCAGACAATGGTTCCCAGTGGTCTGCACTCTGGGTTCCACTGCTGGGAGTCTCATCAAGCCTAAGGCAAGAAAAGCTGTAAAACCTTCACACTGCTCACTGCAGTGGCTCGAGTAGAAAGGCCGGCAGCCTCCGGCCACGGAGAGAAAGTGGAGCCCCCAGGCCTGCAGTGGGAACATGAAACGATGTGGCCGTTCACAGGATGGCCCGGCAGTTTCTTTTGGGTTTTGTTTTTCTTTTTGTTTTTTAGTTTTTTTGGGGGGTGGGATGGAGGGGAGCAGTACTGAGTTTGAACTCTGGTCTCATGCTTGCTAGGCAGGAGCTCTACTACTCGAGCCACATTCCCAGCCCTTTTTCTTTAGTTATTTTTCAGGTAGGATCTCACATTTTTGCCCGGAGCCAGCCTGGATTTTGATCCTCCTACCTGTAAGCCTCTCTCACAGCTGGACTCACAGGCATGAATCTCCATTCCCTGCTTATTTGGCATCTCACTAACTTTTTGCCTGAACTGGGCTCAAATCTTGATCCTCCTGATCTCTGCCTCCTGAGTAGCTAGGATTACAGGTAGGAGTGACCGCACCCACCTGGCTCTTCTTAAACACCACAATAATGGGTTTCAAGACAGTGTTAAGAGCACTATCAATATTTTTAAGTATGTTTAATATCTATTAAACATGAAGCTCAATGAAAAAGAGATGGAAAGCCGGGTGGTGGTAGCTCACACCTGTAATTCTAGCTATTTAGGAGGCAGAGATCCAGAGGATTGAGGCTCGAAGCCAGCCAGGCAAATGGTTCGAGAGACCCTATCTCAAAAAAACCCATTACAAAAATAGGGCTGCTGGAGTGACTCAAGGTGTAGGCCCTGATATTAGCAGGTCACCCCCAAATCTGAGGCTAAGAGTGGAGGAAGTCCCAAGAGTGCCAGCCCTCTCTGACAAGAGGCCGCCAGGCTGCAGTGCTCTTCACCAGCTGACAGAAGCTTGTCCTCAGGAGAAGGGAAGACAGTCACTGAAGCAAAGCTCCCAGTCCCTCTGAAGGCAGAGGGACCATGCTGAAGATCGGACATGAGTCAAAGCTGACGTCCTAACCATTGAGGCTCCCTCCTCCTTCCTTTGCTGGTGGCCATGTGTACGTGTTCTCCACCCATGCACAGGAAATCCCACCAGCCCAGAGAAGAGACCCAAAGACACTGGTGGTGTGGGTTTCCTGGGAATTGTCCCAGCTGGGTCACCCAAGGAAAAGCCCAGTCAACAAGCAAAGGTGTCCACGTAGCTTTCAGCGCTGGCTTTGGGGAGTTGTTTTGTTTGAGTGTTTGTTGTGCAGTGCTAGGGATGGAACCCAGCGTCTCACACGTGCCAGGCAAGCAGGTTGTCATTTTTTGAAAGTTTTCAGAGTGCCAAAAGAGGCTCTAGGAGATTAAAACTGTGAGAAATGAAAGATTCAAAAGCATTGAAAAGTCAAGATGAGGAAATCTCCCAGAAAGTAGAATTAAGGAAAAAGAAGGAAAGGGCTGGGAGTGTGGCTAGAGTGGTAGAGCACCTGCCTAGCAAATGCAAGACCCTGAGTTCAAATCCACCAAAAAAAATAAAAAGAGTAACCCCTTTAGATCAGAGTAGCTGAGAAGGTGCCACAGAGATTTCTTTAGAACAATGAGGCTGAGAAATACCTAATGTTTTAATGCTTTGAAAGGAGGTTTATAGAAGGGGGGAGTTGGGATATCAAATTATGAAAAAGTACACAGAAACTGAAGAGGTGATAAAAATGCCAATAATTACCTCCTGGAAAGATGGACTCTTGTACAGGAAAGAAAGTGTGATAATCACAGGGTGCAGAGTAGTCGGCCTGGGTAAACACTGTGTGACTGTGTGTTGACATAGTCACAATGCAAACACAGAATAATGGTGTCACTAAAAGTAGGAGGGTAAGTATAGGGAGGGTGGGTGGATGAGAAAAGGAAGTGTGTATGTCTTACTGCATATATCGTTCTACAACTTGCTGTATGCTCAATATCTAGGAGGATTTCAGATTGGTACATTTAGATCGTCTACTTTCTTTTTTAACTGCTGTGTAATATTCCATCTGTGAATGTCCCAAAGCTTATTGAACTATCCCAGTGTTAGGTGGCTTCTAGTTTTCACAACACTGTGGTAAAACCGTGGGCACGCATCACCATGCCACACTGCTGAGCTCCCAGGGCTGCAGGATTTTCATTTATACGGAATCCCAAGTGACTATAGTAAGCTGTTGCAGGCTCCCCATCAGCTCCATGAAGCAATAAAGACCTATTTTCCCCACAGCCTCCCCAGCACTCGGGGCTGCCAGACACTTAGGATTCCCCATGTGAGCAGGGGGAAGCACTTGGTTTTAATTTGCTTTTCTCTGATTACAAGTAACGTTAACTTTTCAGCCGGGCACCGTGGCTCACATCTGTAATCCAAGCTACTTGGGAAGCAGAGATCAGGAAGATGGCAGTTAGAAGCCAGCACTGGACAAATAGTTCACAAGACCTTACCTTGAAAAAACCATCCTAAAAAAGGTCTGGTGGAGTGAATCAAGTGGTAAAGGCCATGAGTTCAAAACCCAGTGCCACCAAAAAAAAAAAAAAAAACCTTTTCTTATTTTGAGGAGTTTTTTTTGTCCCCAGTTGAACTCAGGGCTCCCGCATGCTAGGCAAGCACTCTACCACTTGAGCCACGCTCCCAGCCCTTTTTTATATTTTATTTTTGAGCCAGGGTTAGTCTCGCTAACTTTACCTGGGATGGCCTGGAACTCATGGTCCTCTGACCTCTGCCACCTGAGTATCTGGGATTACAGTCATGCACCACAATACCCAATACCCAACTTTTGAATATTTAGACACTTATGTCTCCTTTGCTGTGCTGTGCTCAGTCGTTCTATATTGCAAACCTGTTCTCCCAGTGTGTCCCTTGTCCTTAAAAATCCTTGTGGCACCTATTATTGGGCAGATGTTTCAACCTTTTTTTTGTTTTTGCTTTGATACTTTGTATTTATGCTACATTTCTAATGATAATCTCTTTTATTGGATGAAGTCTGTTCCTTTTAACTTTCTTCCAAGTCATTACAGTGTTACCTTAATTTAAAAAAAAAATTTTTTTCCAACAGTCCCTATGCCATTTTCTTCCTCTGAAAGATTGTCTTCTAATTTCTGCCATCTCCCATGGCTGCTGTGGCCCCATCCTTCACGCCTCATATCTATTTGTGGTTTCAGATAAAACCTACGTGGTCGACCTGAGTCAGGAACGAACCATGTCACTCACCATCGAGCCACGGCCTGTGAAACAGAGCCGCAAGTTTGTTCCTGGCTGCTTCGTGTGTCTTGAGTCTCGGACCTGCAGTTCCAATGTCACCCTGACAGCTGGCTCCAAACACAAGCTGTCCTTCCTTTGCGATGACCTGACCCGCCTGTGGGTGAACGCAGAGAAAACCATAAGTACGCCCTTCCCCGGCGAGTGCGTCTGGGGCTGGGTGACTCTCCCTCCGTGCCCTCTGTTCTTCGCGGGGCTTGCTGGCAAGGGTGTATATCGTACGATCTGAAATGCCCACCCAAGAGCAGGTGAGCAGGGACAACGAGAGGAACACAGCAGGTATCAGTGCGCCGCCTTTAGGCCCGGCCTCACGTGGAAAGTACACGCCTGGGAAGTTCTTTGCATTTCCCCACGTTCATGCTTAGGTCTGGACACTGTTCACCTGCCAGTGTCCCAGATGAAATCTTCTGCACCTCAGCTTAGGCTTCCCCAACCTGTCCTGTCCCCGCCCCTCCATCTTCTAGTCATTCAGCAAATGACCCATAGTCACCTTCCTTCCTAGCCACCTTTTTTTTGGTGGTGGCAGGACTGGGGATTGCACTCAAGGCCTCATGCTTGCTAGACAAACATTCTAGCACTTGAGCTACAGCTCCAGTCCTTTCACGTTCAGCTTGTGTTTCAGATAGGGTCTTAAGCTCTTCCCCAGCCAGCCGTGGACCATGATCCTCGTACCTCCACCTCCACCTCCCATGTAACTGGGATTACATACATGCACCACCACACCCTGCCCACCACTATGATTTTTGATGTGGGTGCTCTTCATAGTGTCTACACTGCAGAAGCTAAGGCCACTAGAGGCAAAGTAGCCTTTTGAAGGTCACTCTGTTAGGAATTGGCAGAGTAAAACCAGAGCTCATACGTGCACAATACCAATCACAGATCATAACTGCTATACACTGAAGGGTCACTGGGTGACAGGTCGGGGCAAAGACCCAAGCCCTGTCCACGTGACACCTAGCATCCCAGACACAGGTACAAGCAAGAAGAGAATTTCAATCCTAAGAACTTGCTGAAGTTTGTCTGCCAGGTTAGCGATAGTAAGACCATGAGAGAAGAAGAGGGAAAGGTACAAAGGGAGCCAGAAGCAGCGAGGAATGGAGGGGAGAGTGGGAGAAGAAAGACCAAAGGGAAAAGCAGGGCAGCTTGGGGACATCCAGCCTCAGGAGGGTGGCTTCTGGTCTCCTCTGCACACGGGTACCATGCACCCTTTCTTCTAGGCTGTGTGGACTATCGGTACTGCCACAGAAAGACCTACCCACTGCAGGTGCCCAGTGACATCCTCCAGCTGCCTGTGCAACTGCATGACTTCTCCTGGAAGCTTCTGGTACCCAAGGACAGGCTTAGCTTGGTCCTGGTGCCAGCCCAGAAGCTGCAGCAACACACGCACGAGAGGGCCTGCAACACCAGCTTCAGCTACCTGGTGACCAGCAGCGCGCCCAGCCATGATCTGTACTTTGGCGCTTTCTGCCCCGGAGGCTCCGTAGAGCAGATCCAGCTGAAGCAGAACAGTTCGGTGACGCTCCGCACCTTTGCCCCCAGCTTCCAGCAAGAAGCCTCCAGGCAGGGCCTGACCGTGTCCTTCATACCGTATTTCAAAGGTAAGGGGACCCCATCGCCCTCTCCCCACCTCTGCACCCCCTTGCCTTCCTTGTTTGCATTTTGTGAGCCCTTTAATTACATTGCAGTTTGGAGAGAAGAATAGATAGATGACAGAAGATGGATGGATGGATGCATGGATGGATGATAGATGAGTGAGTGGATGGATGGGTAGATGGATGGATGGAAAGATGAGTGGGTGGGTGAATGGGTGGGTAGGTGGGTGGGTGGGTGGATGGATGAATGGGTAGATGGATAGGTGGATGGGTAGCTCATGGGTCTCACACAAGAAATTTGAAAGATTGTGAGCAAGTCCTAATCCTGACTTTCCCATCTACCTAACGTGGAAAATTCCAGAGGTTAGAAATCAGCAAACTGTTTCTGACAATGGCTGAAAGATAACAGAACAAGTAACCAGGTCTTCTTTGGAAGCAGGCAGGGCGTAAATGAGAAACAGCCAAATAGTCCCCAGTCCTAGACTTTTAAGGTGCTGAGATAATGAATTTATAAGGAAGAAAGATTTTTTTTTGACTTACAGTCTCCCTGGCCAGTAGGCATAGTTGCTTTTGGGCCAGTGGTGAGGCAGCATATCATGGCAGGAGCACATGGTGGAAGAAACTGCTCACTTCATGACAGCCAGGAAGCAGAGAGAGAGAGAGAGAGAGAGAGAGAATTTGTGTGTGTGAGAGAGAGAAAGGGGTAGGGTGTCAAAATCCCCTTCAAGGACACACCCTCCCAATGACCTAACTTCCTCCCACTAGGCCCTGCCTCTTAAAGATTCCATCGCCAATCAGCAGCACCATGGGCTGGTGACCAAGCCTTTAACACATGGCCTTTTGGGGCACATTTCAGCACTCCATCACAAAGGGCACATTTCAAGAGCTCAGTGACACACGTGCCTATGGCAGTTCTTTCAAATAGTGCCAATACAGAGCACTTCCATCATGGCAGAAAGTTCTACTGGTCCACATCATCCCCTCCACTACTCTTTTTTCTCTCCATTTTGATGGTGTGAAAACATCTGTCTGGATCCCCTTTCCCTTTCCTACAGAGGAAGGCATTTTCACGGTGACCCCAGACACAACAAGCAAGGTGTACCTGAGAACTCCTAACTGGGACCGGGGCCTGCCAGCCCTCTCCTCCGTGTCCTGGAACATCAGTGTGCCCAGTGACCAGGTGGCCTGCCTGACCTTCTTTAAGGAGCGCACAGGCGTGGTCTGCCAGTCGGGGCGTGCGTTCATGATCATCCAGGAGCAGCGGAGCCGAGCCGAGGCGATCTTCAGTCTGGAGGAGGAGGTTCTTCCCCAGCCAAGCTTCCACCGTCACAACTTCTGGGTCAACATCTCCAACTGCAGCCCCGCGAGTGGCAAGCAGCTGGACTTGCTTTTCTGGGTGACTCTTACCCCAAGGACCACAGGTAAGGACCCTCAGGATCTTTCAGAGTTGCCAAAGGAGAGAAAAGTGACATCTGAGGGACCAGGAGCAAGCCTGGGAGGCAAGTCAGAAGACACAGAATGAGGCCAGGCTGTCCATGTATCAATAATGGTCTTGCAGCTGGGCATGATAGTACCCATCTGTAATCACAACTACTCAGGAGGCAGAGAAGGAGGATCTCTAGTTCAAGGCCAGCCCAAGTAAAGTTAGCACCAAGACCCTATGTCAAAAGCAGCACACAAGACTGGGGGTGTGGCTCAAATGGCAGTGCACCTGCCTAACAAGCAAGAAGCCCTGACTTCAAACCCTAGTTCCACCAAAAAAGAAGCAAAGAAAATTGGGCTGGTGGCATGGCTCAAGAGGCAGAGCACCTGCCTCGCAAGCACAAGGCCCTGTATTTAAACCTCAGAACAACCAGACAACCACAACAGCAAAATACATACAAACAAAAGGCTTATAGAGCCGGGAGCCAGTGGCTCACGCCTGTAATCCTAGCTACTCAGGAGGCAGAGATCATGAGGATCGAGGTTTGAAGCCAGCCTGGGCAAATAGTTCTCAAGACCCTATCTTGAAAAAAACCCAACACAAAAATAGGGATGGTGGAGTGGCTCCAGGTGTAGGCTCAGAGTTCAGGGCCCAGTACCAGAAAAAGAAAATGCTAAGGGCTTGACTCAAGTGGCAGAGTGTGCTTGCCTAGCTACATGAGTGCAATTCCCAGTACTGCAAAAAAATAATAATAATAATTGTCATTATTACAGTAATAGTAGTAATTTTCTTGCATCAATAACTCCACATAGCCAATCACCCCAGAACTTACTGGCTTTAAACAGCCATTTCTTAGTTCAGGTCTGAACTGGGCTTGGTGAGCTCACTCATTTCTGCATCTTCAGGCAGGTTCCGTTCACCTAGAGGACTCTGCAAATCCTGACTGGGCACGCTCTTATGCACAGAGCCCAGCCAAGATCACCTGACACAGCCGGGCTTGCTCAGCTCTCCTCCTGCTGTCCTCTTATCCTCCAGCTGGGCCTGCTCCTGTGGCAGAGGCAGAGAGACCACAAGAGACAGAAGTGTGCAAGGTCTCTTGATGCTGGGGTTAGAAACTCATGGGCCGCTCCTTCTACCACATTCTTTCAGCACAGCTGGCCTCTTCTAATGGATCTACCACTGTTCTTTATCTTGATCTTATGTAGGGTGGAGGGCTCTTCACTTAGGATCTTCCTCATCCATACAGTCAATAATGAAGTATCCCAGGGACTCAGGATCATGGATTAAATTGTGGGGACCTGGAAAGTGTGACAGAGATACAGGACACTGTTGTTTTTATTCCGTCCCAGTGAAATGTTGGCATCCATGAAATCCCATCAGTGGCAGGCCTCAGAGCAGGACAAGGAGTTTGCCTTTATTCCTCGAAGTCACAGAACCCTCTGAAGGGCTTCAAACAAGGAAATGTGTGTACGGCAAGGCGATGTACCCTCCAGTCAGCAATGGCCTCAGAGTATCACAGTGTTGGAGCCATGATTGTTTTTTTGTGTGCGTGGTACTCGGATTTGAACTCAAGGCCTTGTGCTTGCTAGGCAGGCACTCTGCCACTTGAGCTATGCCCCCAGTCCACAGTGTTGGAATGAGAGGAAGTGGGCATGGGGGATGTTTCTGGTAGCCCTTCCCTGTCTGGCAGTCACAGTGTTTGTACATCCACCCAAAGGCACACATCTGGTTAGCAACCGGAGCACTGGTGAGACCCTCAGGTATGGCTGAGTGGCAGAGGTACCACTGGCCTAGTGTGTGTGAGTGACTGGGTTCCACTCGCAGTGCACAGAGAGAAACTGGTAGGAGCAAAAGCCATCAGTGAGACGCTCTTCCACCCTCGGGGTCACTTCCTGTGTTTTTGTCCTCTCTGATTTTCCTTTTCTGTCATGTATTTCCATTCCTGTTTCTCTGAGTCCCACCTTTTATTTTCTTGGTGAACAGGAAAGAAATTCTAAACCCCTGTTTGGTGCAGGGCTTCCTCTCAGATTTATGTTCTTTTTCCTTTGTGCAGCTGTGGGAAGGAAGCAACCCTGTCCTTCGCTCCATCACTCTGACTCCCTGCTCTCTCCTACACTCTTCTCCAAGACAGCCTGGTAACTGGGGGACACACCTGGTATAGGCCAGAGGTAGTCTTTGGGGTAGATCTGGTAGGTCCACCCAGTTTGTTTCACTTACCTAGTGCTAAATACAAGCTAGTCCAAAATTAAGTGGCTTAGATATGGCCATTTTGTTTGCTTACTATTTGCAGCTCAGGACTGACAGGGCTCAGCAGGGTAGCTGTGCACCTGAAGCTCCAGACAGATGCCCTGGACAGCCATTGGATGGCGGATGGTTCAACTGCAGGCCTATTTCTAGGACCTTGGTTCTTACTTGTGGTTGGGTTGGTTTTTTATGCCCATTGATCTCCACATAGCTAGCTTGGGCTTCCTCACAGCATGGTGGTCTCAGCATAGTCAGACATCTTACCCAGTAGTCGGCCTCTCACAGAGGAAGTAGCAAGCAAACAGTCCTCTTAAGATCAGTCCCAGAACTGACACACCACCTTCTGTCAACAGCCCAGATTCAGGAGGAAGGAAACAGGCTACTCAATATGAGGAGCAGCCTATACACAAGCAGAAGGAAAGGAGCTGGAGAGGGCCATTTTGGAGACCACCCGAGTTCATGCCATGTCTCATCTGTCTCCCTATGTCTCTGCTCACAGACCTGCCTGTTGTCATCATCGCTGTGGTGGGAGGTGGAGCCCTGTTGCTGTTTGCCCTCGGACTCATCATTTACTTGGTGAAAAAGAAGTAGGTTGCATCTCTGTAACTGTCCTTAGCTGGTTTGATGCCTCCTCAGATCACACAGACCAGACATATTGTCATTTATTAATTCTGTTTTGATTCCCATATTCTCCCAAAGGTCAGTGTTTAATATCACCAGATGTGAACTGTAGTTTCGGTGGCGGGCGGGGGCGGGGGGTATCCCATATCTGGGGAGAAAGGAAACAGATACACACACATTGTGACATTCTGGCCTGCACCCTATGCAACACAAGTCCCCCGGGAGGCATTCTGTTTGCTTATTTGACCTGGGGTCCTAGGGGTGATCTTGAGGTTGCTGGCTTGGTCTCACACAGCTTCTTAAATGAACTCTCTGCTGTTTGCTTGTGTATTAGACAATTATCAAAAGGGAAGCCCTGTGGATGAGAGGAAGGAGGACCAGGGAACTGCTTTGTCTCACCTTCCCCCTCCAGACGGCAGCGCAGTTTCGTGACAGGAAAGATGACATTTTTAGACAGAGACCACACTGCCACCAGATTTGATCAATTCTGCTCATTTCTGATTAAAGCCACCAGTAACGGAAGGCATCTGTTTTCCTTAGTGTAATTTGACCTTTCAAAAAGCCAATCAAAAGAGGTTTTTTTAATTTACTGTGGCCCTGAGCAAACAATTAAAATTCCCAATCTTCAGTAAGACTGTCTAAAAATGCCCCCATCGATGAGGAAAGCCTGACTCGCAGCATGTCCAGGGAGAGAACTTTCTCCATGGAATGCGGTTTTACAGCTACAGACTGAAGAAAGGATTTCTTCTGATGAAACATGTTACTGTTTCTCCAGGAAGACTTGTCTGGGGCACACGCAGAATGTCCCCCTCAGTTGAGAAAGTATGACATTCACCCTGGGCCCCAGCTTCCTCATCAGGAGGGACTTGGGTGAGGGGAGGACCCCAGCTTCGCCTCCATCTCTAAACTACTCCAGTTTGGGACTGTTCAGTGGCTCCCACCTGTAATCCCAACTACTTGAGAGGTGGAGATTGGGAGGATGGTGATTCAAGGCTAGCTCAGGCAAAAAGTTAATGAGACCCCCATCTTAATCGATAAGCCAGGCATTGTAACACATGCCTGTCTTCCCCACTATGTGGAAGGCCATAGGCAGAAGGATCATAGTCCTCTGGGTGTGAGAAAAACATTGAGACCCTACTTGAAAAATAACTAAAGCAAAGAAAAGGGCTGGGGGGTGTGGTTCAAGTGGCAGAGGAGCTGCCTAGCAAGCAGGAGACCCTGAGTTTAAACCCCAGTACTGGCAAAAAAATGAAATCAAATTTAAAAAGAGGCAGAGAAGTCCACAGGCAGGTTCAGAACAGTATGAGTACTTTGGCAGGAATAAGCAAAGCACTATGGCAGCACTGATTACAGGTTTCAGGCAGGAGCTTTCAGAGCCTGTCATCCTGGCCAGAGTCAGCCCTACAGGCTTTAGTGCCAGACTTATTTTTATCTCAGAGCAGAGAGCTGGCCACAATCAGTGAACAGCCCGCCTGTGCGATACGTGTTCCATTACACGAATTGGGCCAATGTTCTCCTCTTGAATCGCTGGTCATCTAAAAAATCAGTGTTCCCTGCCACTTGAGCAGGGCAAAGCTTTGTTTTCCAAGACAGGGAGAGCCAATGCTCACCCACCCACGTCCAAGTGGCAGAGAACATGACCCTCCAGCTGTTGATGGCATTACTGCACAACGCCAGCCCCTGCATCTTCGATTCTGTCTTCATTTGGGTTCTTTCCTCTGTTGGAGTTTGCTGGCAAAGGTCCAGGGTCCTTCTGCCAATGATGAACTCTACTGCCCCCAACTCAGGCACAAAGTTAGCTGTCTCCTTCCCTCCTGGGTCTCATGTGGTGCCATTTGGAATCTAGACAGCCAGAGTTTTTCCCATAGGAGAGAGGATAAGCATTCATTACAGGCAAGTACCATGCGTTCCTGAAGGTCACACCCGGTGTGCTGAGTCTGGGGTGGTTTTGAAAGGCTGGAACACCACCCATTTTTAGTAAGAAAGAGAGGAAGGGATTGCTAAGCGTCTCCACCATTGAATCCCCCATAATCTATCACAAGTGAATTTGTTAAAGATGCTCTCTCTAGACCTCTCTCTACCACTTGTGATCCCTGTTTGCACCTTGCAAACTTCAGACAAAAGTTGTTCACTTCTAGCCAGTGAGCACCAGTGGCACACGCCTGCAATCTTAGCCACTCAGGAGGCAAGAGATCATGAGGATCATGGTTTGAAGCCAGCCCTGGGCAAATAGCTCATGAGACTCTGTCTCAAAAATACCCAACACAAAACAGGGCTGGCAGAGTGGCTCAAATGGTAGAGTGCCTGCCTAGCAAGTGTGAGGCCTTGAGTTCAAATTCCAGTACTGAAAAAAAAAATGCTGTTTGCTTCTAAATGATGTTCACAGGGACATAGTTTCTATTTCAAACACCGAGTGATGCCGGGGACTTGTGGCAGTGAAGACCCTGAGGAATGTCAGCTCCCATAGGGCTACATAACTAGCACACAGCTAAGCTTATGTTTCCTTTGTGACTTCTGTCTTGTTCCCTTTCTACAAACAGGAAAAAGAAGATGAACAAGGGTCCTGCCGTTGGTATCTACAATGGCAACATCAACACCCACATGCCTGGGCAGCCAAAAAAGTTCCAGAAAGGACGAAAGGACAATGAGTCCCATGTGTATGCAGTCATTGATGACACCATGGTATACGGCCATCTGCTACAGGATTCCAATGGGTCCTTCCTCCGGCCAGAGGTAGACACCTACCGGCCCTTCCAGGGCCCCATGGGGGACTTCCCTCCATCCCCACCCCCCATATGCTCCAGAGCTCCCACTGCAAAGCTGACCACGGAGGAGCCACCTTCTTGCATCCCTTCTGAGTCTGAGAGCGAACCCTACACCTTCTCCCACCCCAACAAAGGAGATACAAGCAACAGAGACACAGACATCCCCTTGCTAGATACCCAAGAGCCAGTGGAACCAGCAGAATAATTTGGATTTGTTCCAGAAACTTTGCTGAGGTGCACAAAGCAAGGCGCTGAGACACCCCGAGGTATTTCTAACCAGAAATCCTAAGGAAATGGAGGAAGGGAGAGATTTTCCTGGACACCACCAACCTCCTATTTCCCAGTGCTCATTCCGGTGATGAGACACTGCAAAGGATGGATTCTGGTCTGGATACAGTTGTCACAGTCATGGCCTTCTGAACTCAAATTGTGTTGTAGACCAGCCGTAATGACTGGAGAGAGGCATGAGTCCCCAGCATGGGGTGGCCACAAGCCCTGGATTTGAAGTGATAAACCGAAGCTTGCCTGCTTTGGGGTGACCATTCTGATTCCTAGACGCCCCACCCGAGCTCCCCACTCTCATGGGGGTCCTCAGGTTGAAAATGACAGTGTGCCTTTTTTTATTACTATTATTTATTTGGTGGCCCTATGTATTTAAGAGGTTGAACGTACATGGAGCTCTTTTCAATAAGTATAGGAATGAGTGGTGCTAGCTGGTTTTGGATGGCTGGGTTTTGACTTATACCAACCACTAGATAAACATGTGCTTGTCTCCTGAAAGGTGGGAACAACCTGTGACCCGTCCAGCCAGAAAAGGGTGTGTGTGAGAGCAGTATTAATGTGTATCTGCTTTGATAAGAGACTTCCTGATTCTCCTGGGCTGTGTGTGATTTTCCCACTGCATAAATTTCTCTGGGTTCCCTTGTCCTTTATTCCTAGAAATAAGGGGAAACTTCTTTGAGTTGCCATGGGTGGCTGTCCCAGCTGCAGCAATACTATGACATTTAAACAGAAACTTACAGAAGTCTTTGATCCTCTGAAAAAGGTTTTGATACCAGAGAGTGGCCACCTGTGGTAGTTTCCTTGTGACACATTATTTGTGGCTTAAAAGCAGCACAAATATATGACCATACAGTTGGATCAGAGTTCCTGAAAGGGGGCTCACTGGGCTAAGTCACAGTGTCCCCAGAGTTGTGCTGTGAAGGCTCTGGGAAGAACCCGTTTCCTTGCCTTTTCCCACGTCAAGAGGCTCTCTTGGCCGGTAAAGTCTGTCTCACATGGCATCCCTGCTCACTGGCTTCCTCCCCTCTCTCTTACAAATCCAGGAAAATCTCCCCGTGTCAGGACACTTAGCAATCTCACTAATCATATGCCTTCAGCCTGTGAGAGGTCACATCCACAGGCTGGGACTAGGACAGGGTCATCGTTGGGGTGCCATTATTCTTCTGACCTCACCATCCTGCCATTACACCTGCAGAAGATGCCACAAATGATCTAGCCCACAAAGTGTTTTGTTCAGCCTGCAGTCTGTTTTTTTTTTTAATTAATTACTGACATTTGTGGTGCATGCCTGTAATCCCAGCACTCGGGAAATAGAAGTAAGAGCATCTGGGTTCAAAGATCATGTGACACCCTAACTGAAAAACAAACTAAAAGCAAGAGGACTGGGGGCATGGCTCAAGTGGTCAGAGTTCGATCCCCCGTGCTGCCAAAAAAATACATACATACATACGCACACACACACATACACATATTATATATACATATAAACACTTAAAATTAGAAAAAAAATTACATAAAAATCCAGATCAGAAGAACTGAGCAAGCTGGGGCACACACTCCACCCAGCAGCAGCTCCCCCTTTGGATAGGGCATCCCGTTCACCAGTTCACTCCAGTCCCTACCACTCTCTGTCGCCTCCCACTGTGAGGCTGTGTGTTCATTGCACTGATCTCAGTGCCCTGCACCATTGCTGTTCTTGTAATGGAAAGAAAGACTGGGACTCACGTCTCCTGTTCAGTGGGAAGACAGACCAAGAGAATAGAGCAGACCCCAAGAAAACATTCTCCTCTCCACCTGCCTCATTTACATGAATTACCAGCCCAGCTCCTGCGGCTGCTTGCCTGTGTGGCTCCTGCTGTAGTGTGGAAGGACAGGGATTGTGTGACAGCCTCGCAGCACAGTGCAAAGTTCAATGTTTCCATGATAAAAGCCTTCAAGTATATTTCACTGTGCTCATGAATGCACCTTGGCAATGCTCCACCTCTACTTGTTCACATGGCCTCCATGCAGAGTTCTAGGTCTCCCAGATGGGCGTACTCCAAGGGCTCTGAGCTCTTTCCAGAAGAGAGAGGATTTTCTTTTTTAACATTTGCCTTTGGTGCTGCCCATGGCATCTTTCTTCCTGAAAAGTTGGCATCTAACTCTGTTCCAGAAGGAGGGAGAATGGCCATCCACCCATCTACCCTTGGCCTGTTGAAACTGAGATGCTGACCAACGCCTCCGTGATTGGCCAGGGGGGCTGCAGCTTCCTTCTTTGGCTGAAGGAAGCTCATCTGAAGTCACAGTATGGAGCCCTGGCCATCCACACACACACACACACACACACACACACACACACACACACACCCCCGCCCCTGTCTCCCTGATTTCTGCCTCTCGTACTCTGCATCCTACCTAGGTGTGGTTGGCAGTCTTTAAACTGGCCACACACAGCACCATCCCTTGGAAGGGTCATGCTCAGCCATTTTCTTTTAACTGAAGACTCGGAACTCTGGCCAAGTTGGTGGTTTCCTGAGCCCTCGAGTGGATCAACATTTCTTGAAGCTCTGCCTCAAGGATGGGACCCAGCTGGAGCCCATCCCTGGCTCTTTCTTAAAGCCCAGGCCGCATTTACGTACAATACTCCAGGGTCATGACAAACCCATCAAATGCCATGTGTCGGTTCTTAACTCTGTGCCCTCCTGATGCACTCCCACCCTTGTGTCATCTGAGGGACCTGTGAGCAAGGCCAGCTCACACAGGAGTGGTCTCTGGTGCTGTGGCCATTTACATGAGAAGGGAAATGTTTCAAGGAAGAGTCAACAAAGACAAGTCTAAGTTCATGGAACACAACCTCACTAAAGCTTAGAGGACCAGTGTGCTTTCCTGGAAATAATTTAAATAATAATTTAAAGATATTTTTACTTAGCATTTTATTCATCGTCTAAACTTTTTTAAATAAACTGATGTACAAAACAAATGTGTGTTGGGTTGTTTAAATGCTATGACCACCTGTGCCCTGCAGGAGAGACCCCAGTTCCTGTGCCAGGCTCCAGTGGGCAATGCAAAGCTTGTCTTCATTCTCCATCATGGGTTTGTCCTACAGGAAGCTGCACTTTGGGGCCACAGCCCCTTTCCCCTTCATTTCATGATACAAAAAGTGGAAAGCAGAGGTTCTTGCTCTAAAATAAAAACGATAGTTGTTTTGTTTTGTTTTTTTGTAGAGAAAGTGATAGTAAAGTTTATTAGGAAAAAAGTCCCCTTCTAGAAGAGAATGAGAATGACTAAAATGATAGTGTTGGAGTCTCACCACCACCCATTTTCAGGTCTCACTGCACCCAGGCAGAAGTTCAGAGACAGAGCTCTTCCTGTTCTGCTCATGTCCAGCAACATGGATCACTTTCTATGTGACTTGCTCCCAAAGGCTGACCCCCATGGACTCCTGGGGCCACCCTCGCCACTGACTATGGTTGAGCAATAGCCCAGGACAAGTCAGCAACCACCAGAACAGAAGTACAGGAAGGCATGGGAGAAGGAAGTTCCAGGTGACTCTGAGGCAGGGTAGATCAGGGAAACCAAGGCAGGGAAACAGCAGCCAAGAATTCAGAATAAACACTGCAGAAATGAATGTCTTGATTAAAAGCACACAGGCACTACATTCTTTGCCTTAAGTTTCACATTCCCTTTCTAAGATCTAACATATAGTAAACAAAAAAAAAGGAAGAGGAGGAAGTCTGGCACTAGTGGCTCACGCCTATAATCCAGGAGGCAGAGATCAGGAGGATTGCCATTCAAAGCCAAACTAGGCAAATAGTTCATGAGACCCTATCTTGAGAAAACCCATCACAGAAAGGGGCTGGTGGAGTGGCTTAAGATATAAGCCCTGAGTTCAAACCTCAGGCCTACAAAAAAAAAGAAAAAACAGAAGAAAAATGGGATGGGAAGGGAAGGGAAGAGGAAGAGAGGAGGGGAACAGAAGGGAGAGGAGGGGAAGGAAAGAGCAGTCCTCTCCAAATATTGTTCTCTGGAAACAGCAAGAATATCTTTTTTTTTTTCAATACTGGACCTTGAACTCAGGGCCTTCAACTTGAGATGCTCCCACCAGCCCTATTTTTTTTTTTTTTTAAGATAAGGTCTCATGAACTACTTTCTTGGGCTGTCTTGGAACCAAGATCCTCCTGATCTCTGCCTCCTGAGTAGCTAGGATTATAGGTGTGAGCCACTGGTACCCAGCAAGAATATCTTAAAGAGACATTGGTCCTGGGAACAAAATATGATAAAATGACCCTGATCACAAAAGTGTTTACAAAGGAAAATATTTATCTCCAGGTTAGACACATGTCTTGAAGGAGCATCTGGCAGGACCTTTGTTTAAGCGAGGCTCAGACATCTATGTCACAATGACCTGATTTTAACAAACAGGTCAATTGATAAAAATGGCAAGAATGATTGAATGGACCAGATGTCCAGAACAAAGGGGAGCACTTATCCTAGGGCAAATTTAAACTAACCCCTCAATGCATTTTCACCATAAATACCCTGGATATGGAGCACACATTGCACCTGTTATCAGATGTGCCCGCGCAATTTCTGGGTGTGTGCCATCTCTCTAATCTTTGCTTTGCTTTACTAATAGACTTTCCTGGTCGCTACCTCCATGTGTCCCTAAAATTCTTTTTGCAACAACATTACAAACTTGATACCCAAGGTCCAGGTAGAGGCCTTCTCCCTTTTAGAGACCTCCCTGGACCTCAGCAGTTCTGGTAACAGCTCCACCATCCACCGTGTACTTGGAGAGGACAGGAATATTGGGTTGAGTGCACTGAGATCAGGCATTCAGTAAATTTTGGATTTTTTGTTTGGCAGTCCTGAGGGTTGAACTCAGGGGCGAGGGCTCATCCTGCCTGCTCTAGATGCTTCTCCCAGCCAGTTTCCTCCTCTTTTGGCCCCTCCCTCACTCTGAAATCTGTGCTTCCATGTTTTGTGGCCCTTGGAATAAAATCCTTGTTTGCCTGCTGGAGTTGTGGCACTTCTAGCTTGCTGCCTGGCCCTCTCTGACCTCTCTCCTTCCAACAGACTTGTGGCCTCTGGGCTTTATTCTGAGGGGCTGGAAGCCTTCAGGAAGTGTTCCAGGCCATCTTGCCTT